AGTCAGTTGTTTCACAATAATAAGTGTACTGAATGTGTTCGTGCAAATAGTATATAAAGAGATATAATTATTTGGAACATGGTACATATGTTAAGATGTTAGGTTGAGTATCATATGTGGACATTGGATGCCATAAATAAGTATTAATAATGTGCATTGCGTTCCAAATGTTCATTGAAATTATATGTGTAATTGGTGGAAACAGTACCTGATGAGAAGCTGTATGCGAGTAGTTTCGTATTTTTCTGCATATTGTGACTTTTTCTAAAGAGATGTTATTGTGTTTTATGTTTATTGATATATGAAAATGCAGAAATATTTGCATCAATTAAAAAACAATACATAGACTCAGAAGGTGAAGCAGCAGCTCCGTGTCCTGTGTCTTTATTGACTTAATATCTTCCCTCACCAGGTGGTGAGGGCGCTACACTCTCAGAAAAGGTTTGACAAGATGAAATACAAAAATGTCATAAATTTTTGAATGGTTACCTGTAGAGAATGGTATAAAGGCCTCAGGCTTCTCAAACTGGCCTTGCTCATTCAGGAAGTTGGCTGGGTTGAATTCATGAGGAAACTACCACTGGCCTTCTTCTTTTAGTACAGAAGTGAGGTTGGGAATGATCACAGTTCCCTAAAAAAGGAGAAACAGTTCAAATTTGTTCTGAAGTACTAAAAATTGGTTTCTGCAGGTTTCCTCACCTTCGGGATGCTGTAGCCCATCAGCTCTGTGTCTTTGGTGGTGCAGTGAAACACACTTAGCGGTACAGTGTTAGCCACACGCTGAACCTCATGAATCACAGCCAGTGTGTACGGCATATTGTGTCTGTCTTCATACGATGCGTGATCTTTACCCTCCAGAACCTCATCGATCTCTTTTTGACATTTTGCTGGTGAGAAAACAAGGCCATGTTTGTTTAAGTTTAAAGGAGTTAGCTTTGCTAATATGCTAACACACTCATGAAAGTTTGCAACATTCAATTAAAATATTAATATACATCAAATTAGCAATAAGAAATGACAACAGTATCATAAATGTAGCTTCTTTAGTTCAAATCACACTTGTGAAAACTGTATTTGTAATCTCTGTTCAAGTGTCGCTAGTCATTTAGGTATTTTAAGGTATTTTAAGCATTATAATTGCTTTTATCTGTTTTTCTATGAGTGGTCTGTCTCCTCCTGCTTTGCCTGGTTTAAATTAAGCCAAAATCAATGTGTGCTTTTTAAACAAACCTTGAACCTCTGGGTGGTTCATGAGGTAGAGAAAAGCAGTGAGGAGGGTGTTGGACGTTGTGTCAGTCCCTGCAAAGTGCAAATCCAAAATGTACATGATGAGCTGGTCTTCAGCAAAAGTGGAACCATCATTTTTTCTCTGGGGAACACAAGATATTATTACTTTGAGTCTCAAACGGTGGTAAAGCTGTAACCCCCCCCACACACACACGTTTTACATTATAAATTATATTATCAGCATAACAATTAGCATGATGTATTTTTAGGTTCAAATCAGATTTTGAACCTCGCATTTCCAATGTGGTTTTAGACATTTGGAGTCCACTGTGTTTTGGAAGAAACACGCACCTTATCAAGCTCATCCAGATAGCAGTCAATGAAGTCTCTCGGCTCTCCTGGGACTCTTGTGCTCTTGTGTTCGTTGAGCAGACTTAAATTCATATTTTTTAACTTCTTTACATGATCAAATGCTTTTTTAAATGGCAGGGGCAAGATTCTTAGTAAAGGAAGTGTGTCGTATATCTGTTAGGAAAAGACATGTTTGGCATTTTTATATAATCTTATACAGTGACTTCCACAAATTTGGGAATGTTTTCAGTGAAATCAAATTATAATAAATATTATCTATTTTAAATAATATTTAATAGAGCTTTCTATTAAATCACCTTTGGCTATTATTGACTTTGAAGCTAATGTTTTTTTTAAAGTTCCCATGCAATCAAAATGGGAATTTGTGGCTTTTATTCCATGTAGCTTTGAAACACCACTAAATGTTGATAATATACAATTTTGTTTGTTGCAGAAATACAGGTTAAATTTAACAGGAAAACAGATCAAACATATTGGTGACTCATCCTGCACTACACAGATTTTTGTCCAATCAGATGCTCTTTAGAATGAGACTGTCCCTCCCCTAGTAGCCTACTGTATTCCTCTGATTAGCAATAGCAAGTAGAAAAACTGGCTATTAAGAAAAAGGAAAGAAAAAAGAGAAGACTAATTGTCAAATGGTGTTTTGATCTAAATTCTCACCACATTCCATGGTCCATTGAGGATCTTTGAAATCTCTGTAATGAACTGGACATAATGCTGAAGGAATTCATTCTTGTAATCAAAACGGGATCCGAACAGAACCAAGCCGATAACGTTTGATGCAACGTTGTGGAACATATTCTGAGGATTCACAGTTCCTCCTGTACAAATGTACAGTAAATCCGTTAAAAACATTATGGCATGTTCCTTGTCAGCTGAGATCTCAGAAAAAAAAAAAAAATTTGCATATAAATACCAGCATTTTTGTCCAAGTCAGCAACTAAATGTGAGATTTCTCCCAGAATTCTCTCCTCCATGGACTGCTTCCCCAGGCCAAAATTCCTCAGGGTCATCAGAGCAAAGCGTCGATGATCCTTCCAATGGGGGCCATAATCGGCCAGTATTACACCTTTAGTAAACTTAAGATGTTAGTTGTGGAGATTCTGTTTTGTTCCTGATATAAGCCATACTTATACTGAATTAAATACTACAACATAATTACAATCCTCGAATTTGATTGATTGAGCAGCAGCATTCCAAGAACATTGAAAGTACAACAACACAGTGGCTTTTTACTGTTTTATTACTCTGCTTGTCTTCATTTTCAGTGACTTGTTAAATATATGTTGCATTGTTAAGGCCCAGGTAACTTCGTTTTCGTTATTGCATCATCTAGCGCAGTGGTTCCCAACCCTGGTCCTAGAGTTCCCTCAAAAGTAGGCTACAGATTTTGGATGTGAAATAACCATTTTAGGTCTCGAGTTGAATCAGGTGTGTTTGTTTATTCTAACATCCTCAATTCCAATAATGCTCACAGATCTGTGTTTTTAGAACAGTAAAACCTTTTTTACTGTAGTCGCACTGTTATATTGAGTCACGTTTATCATAAAACACTGATAAAAGCATATTTACCCCCACTTTATTGGAAATTAAATAGTATATGTTTATGTTGAACTTTATTCTTGAACAGATGGTGTTGAATTAAACAGTATATAAAAAGTGTTTCTGTTGCTCATGAAAACATTTCTGAAACATTTGTGTATTTGACATATTGCATTTATTTTTATTTGCATTTTATTTCTGTTGTATAAAAGCAATATCACACTCATTAGACTGTGATTTTATGACTTAGCTGATATCTAGGACAGCTTGTAGTATGAGTTACCTTTATTCTCCGTGAGATGATTGATCATGCACTCTTGAGGACGTCCTGAAAAGTCTTGAGCCTTTGTAACCAAAGCTTCCTTAATAACTTCAAAACTATTTAGAAAAACGTATGGTTTTGATCCAGTATACAGGCTGAAAATTTTCCCATACTGTTCTGCAAACTTAAAATATTGGAAAATTACATTACAAACAAGAACAACTGACATGTTTAAGCTTCTGATGATAAAAAAAGAAAGCCATACTTTTTCAAAATCCTTCAAAGGATTGGCCATATCCATGTGAAGCAGATTCCCAAATAAAGGGAGAGCAGGAGGTCCAGGAGGAAAATTCTTTGGCCTCTGGATCCGGAAGAGGAGGAAGATGAAGAAGATGCATGTCCACACGAGAATCAGAAAGCCCAGCATGCTGACTAGATGTCCAGCTGTTGTCCCTTTAGATTGACTCAAGCAAAAGAAGCTTATGAACTCAAATCACTCAGTCTCTTAGTACATCGCCTATCTGAACAAATATTATGGCCGTGTTCCAGGAAAGATAAAATGAACCCAGGCAAACAAACACTGCTCAGCATTTTGCGTTTCTGAATTCACCTGGATCAAACAGGTTTGAACTCTATGTATATCTCTTCAGTATACAGGAGATATATCATATATCCAGTTTATTAGATGTATGAACCAAAGGCCTAATTACAAGGGCAAATATGTTTTTTATACCTGCTGATTGAACAAGGTTATGTAGTTTTGAATTTAACAATACATTTTTTTTTTTCACTTTATACTTTTTGTTTTTTTTCCAGTGTGTTGTAGTTAGTGCTGTCTAGTGGAATGTTCATGTTTAATGAAGGTACACTGCTGTTGAAAAGTTTGGGGACAGTAAGATTTTTGTTGTTTTAAATAAGAAACGAATACATTTATTAATCAAGGATGGATTAAATTGCTCAAAAGTGACAGTGAAGACAAATATGTTGTTCTTTTGAACTATATTCATCAAAAAAAATCTTGAAAAAAAGTGTATCATGGTTTCCACAAAACATCGACATTAATAATCAGTCATGTTTCTTGAGCAGCAAATCAGCATCTTAGAATGATTTCTGAAGGATCACGTGACAATGAAGACCGAAATAAATAGGTACAAATTACATTTCAAAATATAGTGAAATATTAAAACGTTATTTTAAATTGTTAAAATATTTCACAATATTACCATTCTTACTGTATTTTTCATCAAATAAATGCAGCACTGGTGAGCAAGTGACTTCTTGTAAAAACTTTTAAACATTAGCAAAGGTGGTTTTTAAATTTGAAGCCTTATATCTATTTTAGTTCTAGTTTTTCATTTAATTTTTGATTATGATAATAACAAGTGCACATGGACACACAAATACACATTGGCATACATTCAGACAAGAAGAGGAAGAAAACTATTGTGTAACAGGTTTTTATTCAAGAACTATCTTTTCAATTTAATAATCATAATAATAATTTCAATTTATTAATACTGTTATTAAAATACATCAAATATAATTTCAACATAAATCTGTCATAATCATCAGAATCTGACTGTCTCTCTGCGTCTGATGTGCATTCTGTAGGGTTTGGGCGTCATGGTGATCCCATATACTGGGGTGTAGTCTGGTTCCCCTGCATCATCGGGCCACACAAACTGGAAACGGCGCAGCAGAGTGACCATGATCAGGAAAAGCTCCATACGCGCAAGACCCTCAACGAGACACACACGACGACCTGTACAAGACGCATGTGCATATATGAGTTACAAAATACGCTCAAGCTAAACCTACACATGTTTCCGATTCTGAACCGTTACCTGCAGAAAAAGCCATAAAGGCCTCAGGCTTCTCAAACTGGCCTTGCTCATTCAGGAAGTTGGCTGGGTTGAATTCATGAGGAAACTTCCACTGGCCTTCTTCTTTTAGTACAGAAGTGAGGTTAGGAATAACAAAGGTCCCTAGAGAAGAAAAAGTGACAACATTATGATTTTAAAAGCGTAAAACTCTCTTTATATGGAGGTTTCCTCACCTTCGGGATGCTGTAGCCCATCAGCTCTATGTCTTTGGTGGTGCAGTGAAACACACTTAGCGGTACAGTGTTAGCCACGCGCTGAACCTCATGAATCACAGCCAGTGTGTACGGCATATTGTGTCTGTCTTCATACGATGCGTGATCTTTACCCTCCAGAACCTCATCGATCTCTTTTTGACATTTTGCTGGTGAGAAAACAAGGCCATGTTTGTTTAAGTTTAAAGGAGTTAGCTTTGCTAATATGCTAACACACTCATGAAAGTTTGCAACATTCATTTAAAATATTAATATACATCAAATTAGCAATAAGAAATGACAACAGTATCATAAATTTAGCTTCTTTAGTTCAAATCACACTTGTGAAAACTGTATTTGTAATCTCTGTTCAAGTGTCGCTAGTCATTTAGGTATTTTAAGGTATTTTAAGCATTATAATTGCTTTTATCTGTTTTTCTATGAGTGGTCTGTCTCCTCCTGCTTTGCCTGGTTTAAATTAAGCCAAAATCAATGTGTGCTTTTTAAACAAACCTTGAACCTCTGGGTGGTTAAATATAAAACACTCAAAACAATCCTTTTAAATGCTACAATTAAATTTAGGCATTGCAACATTTTAATGTACAATATGAAAAATGGATATTCGTTTTTAAATTTGCTGAAGATTACATTTAACAATTTAACAATAATCCAATTAATTTTATTTTATTATTAGCATTTAAACCGATAATTATTTTCATGTTATGACCGCATTTCTCTGCATGTCATATAACCCTGACCCTTTTATTTGAACAATAAAAAAGACAAAATAAAAAACAAAATTAAAGTGCTTTCTAATAAAAGTGTTTTTTAATAGCTTTGAATATAATCATTTAAAAGACAAACTGATAAAATGTCTCACCAGGGCCCATGGCCCATTGGCAAACTTTGCATTCTCTGTATAGAGGTGTATGAAAAGCTTGAGGAATTCATCGTCATAATCATAACGGGATCCAAACAAAAGCAGATGATATGACGCAGCATTGTGGAACATAGTCTGAGGGTCAAAGGAGCTTCTTGCACAGACACAATGTACATTGATCTGAATGTCAAATCAAAATGTACATTTTTGAGTGAACTGTTCCTGTAAGATACAGATATGTAACAAAAATAAGCGCATTATTACCAACTTTTTTCCCAGTTTGGCAATAACGTGTGAAACCTCTCCCAGAATTCTCTCCTCCATTGACTGCCTCCCCAGGCCAAAGTTCCTCAGGGTCATCAGAGCAAAGCGTCTGTGTTCTTTCCAACTGGGGCCATAGTCAGACAAAATTACATCTGCAATAATATGTAAATGCCATTTATTGGCCTCAATTATACTAAGTGTAATATCGGACAAGGTAGAACATTGCTCTTTGGACTATAGAAGAGACAGAGTGAACAAGCTCACAAGGATATTGATTAACTGTAGTCTGTACAGAGGTATAAGAGTGAAGGTTCATTTGCAAGTAAATTTACCGCTTCATTTTGTAATATGGTTGACCATGAGGTCCTGTGGGCGTCCTGCAAAGTTCACAGCCTTAGTAAGAAGAGCTTCCTTAAAAACCTCAAAACTATTAAGAACCACCCAAGGTTTTGATCCAAGGAACAGGCTGTAAACTTTCCCATAGCGATCTGCAAGCTAAAAGGTTTATCATTAAGACATTAGACTGCTTGCAGTTCAATACATTACCATATATGTTTCAATGCAATAAGCATTTTTGGAATGTTGCAAGGATATTCTTAATGTATTTCTTCAAGATTTAAAAGTAGCGATCGATGAAGTGTTTAAAGAATGCAATACTGTACCCTCTCAAAGTCCTTCAAAGGATTGCTGATGTTTAGCTCCAGCAAATTCACGAATAATGGCAGAGGACGAGGTCCTGGAGGAAAGTTCTTAGGCCTCAGGATCTGGATGAAAAGGAACAGGAGGAAGATGCATATCCACACCAGTATCAGAAAGCCCAGCATGCTGACTGATGTCTAGCTGTAAACTGCTCTACTTTCACATATAAATTCAGATAGTAACACACGAGCCCTCCCACTTCAAACACTTCACATTCTCAGGGAGCACGTTGCCTGAAGACTCAAAATTAATATATTAATAATGACCAATCCAAGACAGATCTTGATTCTTTTAAAGCAAAGTGTAAAAGTGAATGAGTTTATGTTCTAGTCATACCATAATCTATCTATCTATCTATCTATCTATCTATCTATCTATCATTTATCATTTGTCTATTATAATTCTATCTATCTATTTATTTATTATTTTTTTATTTAGTCATTTATCAGACGCTTTTATCCAAAGCAACTTACAAATGAGGACAACAGAAGCAATCAATTGTAGTTGTATCTATCTATCTATAATTTATCATTTGTCTATTACAATATTATCTATCTATTTATCTATCATCTATAATTTATAATTTGTCTATTAAAATATTATCTATCTATCTATCTATCTATCTGTGTCTATCTATGTATCTATCTATCTATAATTTATCATTTGTCTATTACAATATTATCTATCTATCTATTTATCTATCATCTATAATTTATAATTTGTCTATTACAATATTATCTATCTATCTATTTATCTATCATCTATAATTTATAATTTGTCTATTACAATATTATCTATCTATCTATTTATCTATCATCTATAATTTATAATTTGTCTATTACAATATTATCTATCTATCTATCTATCTATCTATCTATCTATCTATCTATCTATCTATCTATCTGTGTCTATCTATGTATCTATCTATCTATAATTTATCATTTGTCTATTACAATATTATCTATCTATCTATCTATCTATCTATCTATCTATCTATCTATCTATCTATCTATCTGTGTCTATCTATGTATCTATCTATCTATAATTTATCATTTGTCTATTACAATATTATCTATCTATTTATCTATCATCTATAATTTATAATTTGTCTATTACAATATTATCTATCTATCTATCTATCTATCTGTCTATCTATGTATCTATCTATCTATAATTTATCATTTGTCTATTACAATATTATCTATCTATTTATCTATCATCTATAATTTATAATTTGTCTATTACAATATTATCTATCTATCTATCTATCTATCTATCTATCTATCTGTGTCTATCTATGTATCTATCTATCTATAATTTATCATTTGTCTATTACAATATTATCTATCTATCTATCTATCTATCTATCTATCTATCTATCTATCTATCTATCTATCTGTGTCTATCTATCATCTGTCTGTCTGTCTGTCTGTCTATCTGTCTGTCTATCTATATATCTATCTATCTATCCATCCATCCATCCATCCATCCATCATCCATCCATCCATCCATCAATCCATCATCC